AAGCAGCCCCATGTGTGTAGGAGCTGCTGCATGTCTTCATCGAGGGGCCAGGTGGGTCTCCGGACGGGCATCCTGGCCATCTTTGTCTTGCCCACCTACTTCATGGGCCCGCATGTCCTGCCCTCTAGTGGTTCAGGGGAGAATATTCACAGTGGTGCCCAGGCCCTATCGGGCCAGGAGGTTCCTGGCATGGATGGGAGGACAATGGAATGATGCTTTGAGGCAGGAGTGGGGCTGGAGCGCACGGAGGAGGCACAGATGAGATGTGGTATGGATGGTGATCCGAAGGGGAAGTCCCCTTGTGGAACGACGCAGGTCTGGACACCCATGAAGGCAGGGCTCTTCTCCAGCCTGGACACTCGCTCCTCAGTGGCTTTCAATGACGACTGGCTCGTAGACCCCAGAGGAGACCCTGTGAGGAGAGACAGGTCAGCTAGTCCTTCTCGATACCCCTTTGGGACAGGCCCTTGGAAGTATTCACAAGCAAGCACTGTTTACTGGCCCCGTTTTGCAGAGGGGGGTAACTAAGGCTCGGAGAAGTTGAGTCACTTGCCTAGGGTGACACGGATGGTAAGCATCGGAGTCTGTGGGGTTGCAGAGCTGGCACAGGCTGTGCCCGAGACCTTCCTGGGCAGTAGGAGATTACACACTGGGGTGTGCTGTGCCCATTCTCATAGCAATCTTGGCAGGGAGGGACTGAACCCTGCCCACTTAGCAGATGAAGAAACTGAGGCTCAGAGGAATTATGAGGCCTGCCAAGAGGGCAGCAGAAGATCAGGGAGCTCTTCTCCCCACTGAGGCCAGGCCCGCCCATGAGGTTATGGACACCTGGGGCTCAGCAAGCTGCTCTGCTATGACCTTGCTGCCAAATACGCTGGTCTTCCCTCCCAGTTTCAGAAGAAAGTTAGAGACGGGTATTTGGGTATTTGCAAACTTCAAAGAGGTCCCCATTTTCTTTTTGCCCACCTCATTCTAGGGAGCTGCCCAGAAGGAGGTGGGGAGATGGCAGCTGCAATTTCAAGCCTTAGCCAGCAGGGGCCAGCAGAGCAGCACCGGAGGGCTGGTCTGCGGCTCCTGGGAGGCCCAGCCAAGTCCCTTCCAGCCACTGGCCCTAGATGTTAAACAGGTACTTTCCCACCTTGCCCACAGGAACATGAGGAAAAGCCTTCAGCACAACCAGGGCTACACACTCCTGCATGTGGGAGGCTCCTCCACTCACTCACTCACTCACTCACTCAGTGTAAACATTCTGTGAATAAAGGATTCAGAGGGCACTGGCACTCCATAGAGTTCAAGCCAAAGTTTGATCCTATCACCCCGTAGTCTGTGAACATCATGATGGCCGAAGACTGTATTGCTCACTGCTGTATCTCCAGAACCTCGCTCACTGCCGGTTGCAATAAGCAACTGTCCAGTAAATGAGTCGCCATCATCATTTTTAAGGAGTTCCCAGATTTAGGTGGCAGGGAAAGGAAAGTAGCATCGTAAACAGATGCAGGAAGCCCTTGCTGTGAGCTGAGCTCTGTCCCAGGCACTTTCCGAGGTTACCCTTGGATCCCTCAAAGTCGACCCTGGAGCGCTGTCCCGGGCTTCCAGGTGCGACGATGTGGTCCACATCGTTTGAGAGATGGGGAAAGTGAGGCTCATTTGAGAGAAGTGACTGGCCCCAGATCACACCATGGTGACAAGAGCTGGCATTCAAAGCCAGGTCAGTGGGCTGCAGAGACCTTGCTCTCAGTCCTGTGCCCCCCATGGCTACCCTAGCAACCCACCCATGAACCTTCACCCCTACCTGTTGGCCAGTTGGATGCCACTCAGCGTGGTGGAGCCGTCGCGGCTCACGAACAGCCGGAGGTTGCTGTCTGTGGGGACACAGAGGAGGATGGAGGCTGAGAAGGGCGGGGCCGGCCAGGCGACATCACCCCCCAGCCCACCTGGCGGGGGCAGCTCACCCTCAGTGTTGCTGCCATCGGTAAAATCCTGGCTCTGCATGATCTTCTCCACAATGTCATCGGCGTCGATCCGCGTGTCATCCACCCAAGTTGGGTGGCTCTCCATCGAATCCTTCTTCCGCCTGGAGCGGGGTTAACAACAGTCAGGGCAGTAACAGGCACGACAATGACAAAAGCAAGCACTTATGGCGCTCATGATGCTCTAAGGGCACGTGAAAGCTTGTTCAGGTTCCATTCACTTAACCCCCATGTCAGCCCTGCAATGCAGGTGCCACCGTTACCTGGTCTTATAGATGAGGACACAGAGACTCTGAGAGGCTGCATAGCGCCTAAGCAGGGGACCTCAGGTACACTAAATCACACACAGCAACTGCTGACCGGGCACGTGCATGCCACTTAGGCCAGGGCTACACCCCTCACGAATATCAGCTGGTCAAATAGTCACCATCCAACCCTGACGGAGGGACCCTGCCGTCCCATGTTACAGGTAAAGAAGCAAAAGTTCGAGGAGCTACAGGGAGGGGTCTGTCCTCTAAGGCACTGAGCAGTGAGACTCACCGAAATGAGCGGTCGGACAGATGTGGGGGCCGGGGTGGCCGCGGTGGCTTTTCGGGGGGCCGGTGCTCACGCTCGCCGCTCTCGGGGCCCTCCACAGTCATGCTGAGGCCACCAGAGGCACTGCTGCTGGTGGATGTGTTGCGACGGTGGGTCAAGTCCGAGAGGCTGGAGGAGCGTGAGTGCTCCGTGCTGTAGCCTGGTGGGCAGGTGGGGCGGTTCGTCATGGGGGAGCCAGGGAATGTGGAAGGCCAAGGGCGCGGGGCCGGGCAGGCACTCACCGGAGATCTTGGACTGCTGGCTGGCATAGCTGGAGTTGCGGGAGTGGCCCGAGTGGAAGACCTCCTCGGGGCTGGACAGGTTCTGGTCCGTCTCCTCTGGCACCCCTGGAAGGTGGGGAGGAAGCAGGGGTGACCAGGGGTGCCCGTCCTCTCACGGAGTCTGGTGGGGGCTGGGGGACACTGTGTATCTCCATGTAACAGACTGAAAGACTGAGGTTCAGAGGAACGGCGACCTGCTCCAAACCACAGTTCACCTTCTGAACCCAGGTTTGTTCACTCCACAAATATCTGTCAGGGACCTCCTCCACCAGGGGTGCTCTCCTGGGTGTTGTGAACAGGAGACAGGGCGTCACAGGCCGCTAGGGAGGAGGAGCATGGAACAAAGAAGGACCCACGATGGACCACAGCTGTGGTGAGGGGTGCAGAGCGAGGAGCGGCGCAGGCGGGGGTCTGACCCCATCTGAGGTCAGGGAAGGCTTCTCTGAGGCGGAGACCTTCAGGAGGTGTGGGAGGGAGCCAGCCAGGTCAGGCATCAGAGAAAGGGCCGTCCAGGCAGAGACAACGGCCTAAGCAAATGTCCTGAGGTTTCAATGAGCTTGGGTCGGTGTAGCTGGAGTGAAGTGAGTAAGGGTGAGGGGAAGCGGCTGACAACCCTGTCCCAAGTCCCCCATAAGCCCAACTTAGAAACATATTGCCCAGCACTCCCAAAAGGAGGTACAAGGGGACCAGGTGGATATACCCAGGTTCCATGAGTACCGACCCACCAGTCCTCCTGTGGTCAACACAAGAAGCAATGACTCACCCATCCCTTCTTCAGAGATGAGCACGGTCAGGCCACCAGCTGGACCCCAGGCCTGACTGTAACCCCACCCAAAGCCAAGTGGCTTTTCAAGTCCCCAGCAAGTTCTTTGCACATGAGGGAAAGGAGCAGAGGCATGTGGGGGCTCAAACCCCATGCTGCCAGGGAGCGGCACCTCTACCTTCTATGAAAGCATCATCAGCAATGGGGTGGCCTGGTCCCCAGAACTCCCTTTGGAGACCCCCACCCTGATGCTACGATGGGGCTGGGAAGTCCCCACTCCCAAGCACAGCGCCTAGGCTGAGGCAGGCGAGAACCCCAGCTTTCCAGTCTGGGCCTCACCTGGCCGGGTCTCTGGGAAAAATGCAGTGGAGGAAAACCAGTACTTCGGGTCAGAGGGTCCCTCACCGCGCCCAGCCCCCAGGGGCAGACTCACCCAGCCAACATCTGCTGAGCCACCTGGCCCTGTGCCCTAACTGCCACCACGTGCCGCTTTGCTCGCTAATCAGCTGGAGGCAGCCTGCCTCCCAGCTCTGAGCTCACCCCTAGGAGGGGTGTGGGGGCCAAGGCTCATATTCGGGGGCTCTGCTCCACCCCACACAGCACTAGATATAGGACTGGGGGGCAGGCTGGAGCCTCCTCTCCTGGCACCTCCTCCTAATTGCCAGGCCATCTCCTCTGGGGATTCAGGGTCCCCCAATTCGATTATAACATTAGTAATGATGATTTAATAGAAATGCATACAGCCTACATGCTCTGTGCAGGCAGGGCCCACGTCTGCTCAGTTTATACCCAAAGCAACCCAGGACGTGGTCACTACTGCTGACCCCATTTTATAGGAGGATGCTGAGGCCCAAAGAAGCAAAATGGCCAAAGTCATGGAGCCAGTGGGAGAGCAAGAGCTCACAGCATGTGCCTCTGCTGGGAACACTGCACCCCACACCGCAGATTCGGCTCAAATGTCACCTCTTCAGCGGCACTTCCCTGGCCCCAGATAGATGCCTCTGTACCTCTCACAGCCCTGTTACTCTATAGGTAGACATGCATTTGACCTATTTACTACCTGATTGATGCCTGTCTCTCCTGCTAGGCTGGGAGGGCCATAAGGCCAGGGACATCATGTCACTCGGTCCAGAGCACTGCACAGTGCCTGGCATACAGGAGGGGCTCGGACGACATCTGCTTAATAGAAGCATGGACGGTGCGATCACCCCCCTCCCACCTCTCTTCTCAGCAAGCATCTCCCTTGGGACCTGGGGACATCTCGGAGGCAAAAGCCTTTGGCAGAGGGGAGGGGCATGGTAGGGTGGGCGGGGGGGGGAACGGTACCTGAGCCGAGGATGGTGGGCCGGGCCTTAGGGGGCCGGGACCCTGTCAGGGAGCTGGTGCTGCTGCTGCCACTGCTGCTGGTCCCACCACCCTTACACGTCAGCTGCAGGGAGGAATCCTGGCCTGGGATCGAGATGGACTTGGCAGTGGATGGCGGCCTTGGAAAGACAGAGGGATGTGACTGGGGTGTCCCACTCTCAGAGTCAGAAGAAAACAAGGGAGCACCACCCCTCAAGAAGCTTGCACCCACACTCACGTCTTGAAGCAGGGGTCCCCAGAGAGCAGGAACATCCCAATGGTGACCTGCAAGACAGGGAGACGTCAGCCACACTGTGTCCACTCACTCAGCTCAGGCGCCCGACTTGCTTCAGACTCTTTGCTCGGGCTACAGACAAGGCTTGGACTCTGATCCCATCCTGCCCGCTGCTGACCCTGGTAAAGCCACCGAACCTCACTGAGCTCCCGTTTCTTCCTGACACCCGCCTCATGGAAAGGATGCAGCGAGATGAGGCTTCGCTTGGCTCGGTGCCTGGCTTGGAGTGATGCAGTGACAAAAGCCAGCTCCTGTTATCTCAAAACTACAGCTAGACTGAGCTCTCATGCTAGGGGCCACAGTCTCTCTCCATCCTCAGTGCCCAGGTGCCCGAGTGGGCATGGCAGCACCAGCCAACACAGCAAGAAGGAAGGCGGCTCAAGAAGCCTACCCAGTGACATCAGTGACGATGGGGTTCACTGAGACTGACAGGGGGCGGGGGGGTGGGGAAGGGCAGGGTGCTCACATAGTGAAGGTTTTTTGAATAAAGCAAAACAAACGAATAAAACAATAGAAACTTAATTTAACACCCAACTGGGTAAAGATTTCAGCAATGGCCCAAATGAGGCAAAATTTTGGTCCCCAAATCTGGGCCCGGGTGGGACAACAAGTGATGGGGTGGGCAAGAGGTGCTCGGACACCAGCCACCACAACAAAACTGGAGATCGTGGGGATGAGGCTGTTGTTGTTGCTGCTGTTTTAATGGATTATTTCATTTGGCCATGATAGCAGCCTACGAAGTAGGTGATGGACCCAGGCTGTAAATGAAGCAACTCAGACTCAGGGGAAGTGACTGCCCAAGGCCCTATAGACAGGACATGATGAAGATGGCCTTGAAGCCAAGGCCACTTGCCCCCCACATGCCCTTGATCTGGCCTGAGGATGCATGGGGCTGCTGGAGCAAGGCTGAAAGGTCCCAGCTCCCACCACAATTAGCCTACACCTTTGCAGGTGCCTCCAGTTCCCTCTGTGAAGGGTCTGAGAGGCCCCAGAGCCTCTGCCCACTACCACCTGCCCGGCTCTGCCCCGGTACCATATGTTCCAGCTGGGTCAGCTGGCAGAGGTGTGGTTAGGATGAGACTATTTTCTCAGCCAGGTGGAAGGGTGTGGAGACAAGGAAGAGAGGTGTGCGGATGGCAGACACCCAGCTATCTCTGTCCCAAGAGGCCAAGGAGGCAGCTGCCTGGGGGGAAGGAGTGGCTCCAGCCACCGGAAACTGCACGTGGCTGGGGCCTCGGAGCAGCCACCCTCGGTCTGCCCAGGTCAAGGGATGGCAGGTTCTCCTGGTCACTGTTCCACTGGGAGCTCAGGTTGCCTCATGTCACATGTGACAATGGTGAGGATCTGGACTGTGGATTCAAGGGCCAGCTCTGTTGTGACCCCAGGCAAATGATCTAACCTCTATGCCTCAACTCCTTTCTGTGCAAAAACTGAGACTAATAATAGACACCACACCCCACGGGGTTGTTGTCAGGCATCACAAGACAAGAGGTGGCAGCACACAGTGATGCTGATCGCACCAAATCCTTAAAGACCTTGTTGGGGTTCACTCCCAACCCCCGATTATGAATGGGGAAATAGTCCAGTGGCCAAGACAGGCCTCTGATGGTGGTTTCCTGACCCAGGGCCCACATCCTCCCAGTGTCCCTCACTGCCTGTCTGGGGGAAAACCTGTTTTTTTAACCTCTAGGGACTCTGATGGGGACCCTGCTGGGAGGGGGCGGACGAGGCGGCGGGGCACCAGTACCTTCAGGATGGAGTTGTCTTGGCGGGTGTTCTTTGTGTCGTATCCCTCTAGCAGACAGCAGCGCACCGTGGACCCTGAGCCTGCAAACTCGGCCAGGTTCAAGTTGGCAAAGCCCAGCTGGGAGGGAGAGAGGAGGCTGTGGAAGGCTGCAGGGAGTGTGGGCGCAGGGCTGGCAGCACAAGGGTTAACTTGGCAGAGGAGGAGGGGCAGGCACAGCCCCTGGGACACCCCACAGCCCAGACTGACTGTTGCATAACCGGCACCCAAGGACAGAGGCCCGAGCTGGTGGCTTGGGTTGGCGGCTCCAACGTGGCAGAGCCAGGAGCTCACATCTCTGAGCTGCACAAAGCGCCCTTTGTGCCATGTCCCAGAATACACCGGGGCAGCGCCTGAGATGAAAGGACATTGTTGTCTTTGACACAGACACATTGTTCCCCGGGAAACAAGGCTGCGCTGTGGGAGCCGCCGGGACAGCGGGCGGGGGAGGGAAGGCCCGTGGGAAGTTGGCATTGGGACGGGTGGGTGGGGGTATCCTGCAGGGTGGGCAGGAGCGCCTCGTGGATGCTGGAGTGAGGGACTGTTGGGCAGCGGGTGGTGACGCTCCTTGCTCCTCGGATGCAGAGAGAGGAGCAAGGGATGGGGAGCAAAGTGGGAGAAAGTGTGAGAACAGGGTGTGTGCGCTAAGAAGGCCTCTTAAATGAAAACAAGACTGACAGACCTGGAGGGGTGACAGAGATCAAGGTGAGGGGGTGCTGGGCTCAGAGACTCAGGACAACCAAACTGACTGAGGACGTTTATGGAGCGCCTGCTGTGCGCCAGTCTCTACTGCTGACTTTGGGGCACGCGTGCCAGAATCAGGGACTCGGGTTCAGATCCTAGCCCTGCCGTGCACTCAGTGACCCCCATTTTACAGACAAGGAAACTAAGGTTCAGAGAGGAAGTGACATGCCCAGGGCCCTACATAGCTCAACCAACAGAGCCAGGCCTGAAATTGTCAACCTTTGCCACCTCTCCGGGCCTCAGTTTCTTCCTCTGTATCATGGTTGCTAAGTGGATGTTCGATTGGAGAACGGAAGGGAAGGGCCTGGCAGGTGTGACCCGTGCTAGGTGCATGATTAACGTTTGCCGGGTGGAGGTGGGATGCTCCAGCTGTTTGCTGGTAGTTTCTTTCCTGGCTGGGCAGCTGTCCTCACCCACGTGAATCAATGGGAGGGGAAATTTCCACTCTGATGGCACCTTTCACAGCCCGGTTCTGGCCACCCTGCCCTCTGCTTCTGGAGTGGGACTCGAGCGCCTGGCCTGAGCCAGAGCAGAGCTCAAGGCCCAGACCGCTGAGCTTCCTGAGCTCTGGCCATGGGGACGCACCCCGCCCACAGGGTGAAGTGAGGCGGAGGCATTTCCCCTCCGGACTGACTAAACCCACCCCCTGCCACTGTGCCGCCTCCCTGAGGAGGCCCCAAAGGGTGGGCTGCACATCCCCATAGAAAAAGGGGTTTAAGCGTTGAGCAGTCTTATTCAAAGCCAGAGGCAACCCTCCAAAGGTGTCTCTTCCCACTTTTCCCCGTGGAAAAGGTTTTAACACGAAGGCTAAACCGTCTGTGGGTGCAGTGGAAACCAGGCAATGACAAGGATGTGTAACAGTGGGGACGGGCTGAGTCACCCGTCCCCCAGCCACACAATGGGACGCTGCTGCTGTTAAAGCAAAAGGAAATTTGCGATGACATGAAAACATGCCCATGACGTACTGGCAAGTAAAACAGCAAGCTGCAGAATCCACTTACAACAAGTCCCTTCTGTGTATTTAAAAACCTTACTGTCTGCATAGACACGAGGATGCGCAGAGGGTGCTCGCTTTGCATTTCTCTAAACCACATGCATACGTTTTATTCACTGCTCAGCATCTATGATGCATTTCATAATTATTTTTTCTTAAGAAGGTCTGGAAAGATCCTAATGAATCCCAACATATGTTGGGATCCTAATGAATCCCAACATATGGTGCCTTTCTGTTAAGCACAGACTATCAATAAAGATAATTCCAAGAAAATAATACATCTCCTGCAGGGCTGAGTGTCTCCTGTTTGGGGCTGGAAGATCTTTTGGGAGTTTTTGTCGTGCCTGTCCCATCCCGCCCCATCCCAGCCCACTGCCTCTTCACATAGCCCCACTTACCTTGGAATAAGCCTTTCCGCCTTTCAGCTCCTGCACAGGGAGACAGACACAGCGACAGAGTGACTAGGGAATCCAAGGGACCTCATATGTGTCCCCACTTCCCTCCACCCCGAATCCGACTGCTGGGGGAGGGGGACAAGAAAAGGGGCAGAGCGACTCACCTCACTTTCCCTGGGGGGACAAGTCAGGGGATGGGCCTAAAGCCACCAGACCAGGGGTCCCACACCCACCCTTCGGCCTGGAGCTCACAGTCCCCAGACCTGGCTGGGAGCCCAGCCTCACCTTGCGCACCGACACCCGGAAGATGCAGGGGTCCAGCAGGCCGGTGGCCGGGTTGGCACTCATCTTACACACGAAGGTGAACCTCTTCCGCCACCGCACACAGTTCTCCTGCACCTCCTCCCTGCGGGCCAGACGGGGCAGGTGAGCACAAGCATGCAGGTCAATGCCAAGGGCACGTACCAGGGGCAGGGTTAACCTCGGGGCAGGAATGGAGGAGAGTTCTCGTTTTTCACTTTGTGTCACAAAGTGATTATTTTCATAACAAGAACATGCTTGTGTAAGTGTTACAGAAACAAAAGATATGCAATAAAAATGAAAAGAACAAGGCGGGTGAGGTCGGGCTGGAGGCAGCGGCACCTCTCTCTGCTCCCAGTGCCACCACCCACTTTGTCCTGTGGCCTTGGGTGGCTCTTTCTGCTGCCATTACCTCCCACCAGGAAGGCTCCCACTGGCCATCTCAAGTGACCCTCACAGTAGTCTTCCCAGGCTGGACCACCCGTCCATTTTACAGATAAAGAGACCGAGGCTAGGTAAACTGCCCAGTACCACTCAGCCAGGAAACCGCTGGCCCTCAGCCCAGGGCTGTTTGGCCCTAGAGGCCCCTTCTTTACCGCTAGTGACAACAACAGGTAACACTCATACGGTGCTTTCCATGCGCCAGGCCCCACTCAAACCACCTTACACGCCCAGCCACCCCTGGAGCCTGCTCCAAGTCACATCAATGCTTCCAACTCCTGTCTGGGGCAGTCACTGCCATTAGCCCAATTCCACATTCAAAGAAACCAGAGCTCTGGGACTAAGACCCTGGCCATGAGGCCCACCAGTGGCAGAGCAGAACGGGGCCTTGAACCCAAGCAGCGTGATTCGGGTGCTACACACTTAACCCTCACCACTCCAGGGCTAACACACTTCTCGGGCCCTCAGTTTCCCTGGCACTAATGGGGGCTGTCCCAGCTGCTCGAGTTCCTCCTGGGCCTGGGGAGCATGACCAAGCCCCAAATTTCAGCACCTCCTTAACAAGGAAGCGCTTTGTGCCCTGGGAGTGAGTGGGAGCCGGTGGGAGCAGCTCTTCTGAGTCTCTCCCAGCTGCTGCGGGGGCCTCAGCAGGAGCTGGGGGTGGCAGTGGCACGTGGCAGAGACGAGCTCTGCACACCTGCGCAGCTCCCCGTGCCCCCACAGCCTGCCTGGCAGAACTGGTGCTTGGGAAGAGAAGGGAGGGGCCGGCATGAGAGACATTATCTCCAGCTTCATCCCACCTAACAGGAACGGCCAAGCGGACAGTGGAGGAAGTGACTGCGCCACACCCTGAGGAGCCCAGGAGCGCGGGTTCACTGCCAGACTGGGGGCTGAGTGGGGAGGGTCTGCGCAGGATGAGCATCTCCCGAACCTGGCTTGTTTGCTTCTCACTGCAACCTTGGAAGGCAGGCTCTATGCTACCCCCTCTGCAGCTGAGGGCACTGAGGCTCCAAGAGAGCGCCCCAGATCACATCCCCAGTGCCTGACAAAACCGAATTCAAGCCAGGACCATCCGACTGCGGAGTCAGAGCCAGGAACCATCACCTTAGTTCACGGACCACAGAGTCCGGAAAGCCTGGCAGGCAGAAGCCACCAAGGCTGTGTGGCCAGCAGAGCCCTGCTATGCACCCGAGGCATCCACGCCGTCTCTGAGTGCCAAGTGTGTGCCAGGCATTGTGCACTGCAGTGGACTTACTCACAGAATGACATTTGACAGTCACCCCAGTGCTGACTCAGTGTTACCAGGACGGGGTGGAGGGAAGGGGTGAGTCAAAGAAGGTGACTAGCCACAGGGAAGTGACATTCCAGCTCAGACCCAAGTGAAGAGTGGGGAGTACAGCCAGCAGGGGAGACAGTTCCAGGCTGAGGGAACGGCGTGAGTGAGGAGCGAATGTACTCTAGGTTTCCTTGGCCGATGCCAGCCTCTGAGCGGAGCCTCCGTGAGGAGCTCCCTCGTGGTTCCTCATGCCTTGAGGACATGACCGAGGCTTATTCCATGCCCCGCCAGGTCTGTGACAAGGGGCAACCGGACTCGGGTCGGACAGACCTGGGCTCACAGTCCTCACTCTCCACCCTCGTCAGTAAAGCAGGCATACCGGCCACTCGCGCATGGGCACCTGGGAGCATTCAGGCAGGTGGGCCCCGCGAGGGCCTGGCGTGGGAAGCTCTGTGAGGTACGTCTCTTCTGATGAAGGCACTGGGGATCTAAAGGGCCTCAGTCACCAGAATGCTCCAACCGTATGAGGAGGGTGAGCTCCAGCAACCCCCCGGAGCCCCAAGACTGGGGACAAACAGAAAAATCAGGGCTAGAGATGAGGGGAGGAGAGAGAGTCCCCAGTCCCCAACAGACATGCACGGGAGCCCTCAGGAGGCAGGTGCCACAGGGGAAGCAGGAACCCTGACCCAGCCGTGCCAGCTCCATTCATTCATTCAAATAACTGAACGCCAGTCGAGTGCCAGATCCTGTTCTATGCACTGGCACCACAGCGGTGATCACCTTACATTCTGGTAGGAGCAGAAAGATGAGGATCAAACGAATGAGAAAAATATGTGGTAGTGGAAAGGAAGGACTAAAACTATCTTTATTGGCAGGTGACTTAATCTTGTGTGTGGAAAATCCTAAGGAATCCACTATAAAAATTATCAGAATACACGAGTTCAGCAAGGTTGCAGGATATAAGATCAATATACAAAAATTAATTATTTCTATATCCTAGCAAATATGCACAATGAAATTAAGAAAAGAATTTCATTTATAATAGTATCAAAAAGAATAAAATACGTAGGAATAAACTTAAGAAAATAAGTATAAAATATATACTCTGGAAAACTACAACACATTGTTGAAAGAAATTCAAAAAGCTCTAAATAAATGGAAAGACATCCTACGATCATTGATCGAAAGATTTAATATTGTTAAGATGACAATATTCATGAACTGATCTAAAAATTCAACAAAATCCCTATAAAAATCTAAGCTGGCTTTTTTGCGTAAATTTAACAAGTTGATCCTAAACCTTAGAAAGTCAAAGGACCAGAATAGTCAAAACAATCTAGGAAAAGCAGAACATAATTAAAGGATTCACATGTCTTGACTGCAAAACTTCTACAAAGCAACAGTAATCAAGACAGGATGGTTGTGGCATAAGGATAAACACACAGATCAAAGGAACAGAACTGAGAGTCCAGAAATAAACCTTCACATATATAGTCAATTGGTTTTCAACAAGGGTGCCAGTGGGGGAAAGACCAGTCTTAAACAAAAGCCTCTGGGACAACTGGATATATTCACATGCAAAAGAACAAAGCAGGACCCAGTTACATATCATGTACAATAATTAACTCAAAAGGTATCGAAGACCTAAGTTTAAGAGCTAAAACTATAAAATTCTTGGAAGAAAACACAGAGGTAACTCTCTGTGATCTGAGATTAGGCAACGGTTTCTTAGATACGACATCAAAAGTACATACGACAAAAAATACAGATATATTGAACTTCATCAAAATTGAAAAATTTTTTGAGTCAAAGAACACCATCAAGAAAATGAAAAGACAACCCATAGTATGAAAAAAATATTTGCAAATCATAAATATGTTAAGGGACTTGTAGCTAGAATACACCGAGATGGCTATAATTAAGACAGATAATAACAAGTGTTGAGAATGTAGAGAAATTGGAACCCTCATGCATTGCTGGTAGGAAAGTAAAACGGTGCAATCGCTTTGGAAAACAGTCTGGCAGTTTCTCAAAGGGTGAAACACAGAGTTACTGTAAGATCTAGCAATTCTCCTCCTAGGTATATTATATCCAAGAGAAATGGAGAGTATATCCATACAAAAACTTGCACACAGATGTTCCTAGCATCATTATTCATAATAGCCGAAAAGTGGAAGCCAAGTCTAATATCTATCAACTAATGAATGGATACATAAAATGTGGTATATTCATGCAAGGGAACGTTATTCGTTATTCTCGCAAGCAAAAGAAACTTAAACTCTCCTACATGCTACAATGTGGGTTAACCTTGAAAACATTAATGCTAAGTGAAAGAAGTCAGGCACAAAGAACTACATACAATTCTATTTATATGAAATGTCCGGAATAGGCAAATCAAATCGGTAAGAGACACAATGTAGATTGGCCAGGGGATGGGGGAATAGGGAGAAAATGGGGAGTGACTGCTAATGGGTATGGGGTTCTTTCTGGAGTCATGAAAATGTTCTAAAATTGACTGTGGTGATGGTCGCATGATTCTAACTATACTAAAAACCACTGAATAGTACACTTTAAATGGTGAAGTGTGTGGTACGTGAATTACATTCAAATACACTGTTAACCAACCGACCAAACAAACAAACAAAAATCCCCACATGGTAGGTCAGATAAAGAGAGAAAAATGGAGAAAACAGAACAGGAGGTGAGTGGGGAGCTGGGTACAAATGAGAAGGTGGGGGCTGCGACTTCGGCTGGGCAGTTAGGGAAAGCCCTTATGGCAGTGGCACCTGATCAAGGCCTGGAGTGAAGTGAGGTTGAGGGCTGAGCAAAGACTGAGGGAAGAGATGTCCAGAAGTGTGAACTTCAAGTGCAAAGGCCCTGAGGTAGAGACATCCTTGGCAAATGGAAAAGCAGCACGGAAGCCAGTGGCTGGATGGGACTGGGGAAGAGAACAGAGGGGATGTGGTCAGCAAGGGAGCAGGGGGTCAGGTCGTCCTGGACCTCGAGGGCCATGGTGAGCACTCTGAATCTCTTTCTGACCGCAGCTTTGTCTCGCCACCATGGATCCCGGCTTTAGCCCGGAGCAGCCCCGGTGGAGGTAGGTGGATGGGCAAAAAGAGCAGAAGCAATTCCCAAGCGGCCAGAGAACCAAGCTTAAAAGTGGGGAACGCGGGGCCGGGGGGCTGGCCACGGCTTCCGTGTGGACCCTCGCACCTTTACCCACCCCTCTGCTCACCCAGCCCAGGAGCTGGAAGCAGTTGCTGGAGACCAGGTGGGAAGCTCACAATGCTGGACGTGTTGAAACACCCAGAGGAATTAGGATTAGTGTCTGGAAACAAAAGGAGATATCGAATTGTAGGCTCTCTCCCTTCCCCTTTGTGAGTCTGCCC